ATTTAAAAAAAAAAATATATTTTTATATAATTTTTATATAATTAAAAAATTATGCGTGATTAGAAACATTCTGCATATATGATAACATAGTTACAGGTACATAGAAATTCCTTCAATATACAATGTGCGCTTAAATTTCTATTTATATATGTAATATATAATATATATATAATAAATTTTTAACTTATTATTAAACAATACAAAAATATGGTATTGTCTTATAATGGCAATCTGTTTTTAGAATTTTTACTAATATTAAATAAGAAAGAATTTTACAAGATATGAAATTAAAATATTTTAATCGTGAAATAAATTTGCATATATTTTTACACAAAATGTAACATGACATTTAAATATCAGCTTAAGTTTTATATTTATATATATTTATATATAAATAAGTTTCAAATTAATAAGATAGAAAGATTTTGTTTTGATTTTCAAGTATTTTTACATGTATTTTGTTTATTTTAGATATATATTAAAATATTATTTTAAAGTAAATTATATTATTTGATGTAATAATGTATTTAAGAACAATGATAAATACTATAATGATTATTTCGTACAATATTAAATATGTCAGTTATCATCATTAATTAAAAGCATTAGAAGTCTTTTTAATGTTAATAACATATAGAATTATAAAGTGAAATATTTTACTAAAAAATAATGATAATCATAAAAAATAATAAAATTAAACTGAAAATTATATTGTAATAAATATAAAACAATATTGATTTCTATTTGCTGTTAGCTGATTCTGATTAAATATCAGTCTTGTAAATAGCATTTGTAAAAATATTTTTTATAATATATATGAATATATAGAATTTATGAAATTCAGCTTGCAAAGCTAATGAAAATTTATGAAGCCTAGGCACTATCAGTTTAATTAATTAATTATATTTAAGTATTATATATATTGCATATATCATATATCATTATGACTTTCTGATATTATAATCCGCATTGATTAATTTGCTGTTGTATTTTGTTACATAGAAGCTGAAAAATTTATAAAAAAAAATATTACTTATTTTTTTTAAATAATTAAAAGATTATATTTTTTAAATATAAAAATATGTACTAATTTTTCAATTACGTGACTTACTTGTCTTATATTATAATCAGGTATTAAAATTATTTTTGATTGATCTGCATTACCAAATAAGCCTAATTTTTTTTTTTTACTAGTATCTTTAATAAATATCTGAACACCTTTATCCACTAATTTCGGTAATTCGCTTATTTCTTGCCACGTGTGAGTCCAATGTACCTGTATGAAAAACAATAAAATATTTACTTTTTTAAATATTTTATATTTAATTTACAAAAATATAATATTTAAAAAAAATACAGACCCGCCATCCACCGAATAAGTCACTATGCTCTAAATATGCTATTCTCTTATCAGTAAGCAATAATACATCTCTATTAATGTATAAATGATAAAAATAAATATCAGTATTTGAATATTTTCCTTTTTCTAATTCCTATTAAGAAACATTTTCATATTACAACATTTAAATATTAAGAAATATTAGATAAGAAAAAAATGTTAAATACTTACACTTAAAATTTTATGTCCTTCAGCATGCTCTCTAATATATGGTCTAACTAAATTATCAGGTTGTAAAAATCTACATGGCCTTACTTTCTTTACTTCTTCATTCAATTCAGTTGCACTGAAAAATAATTAATATGAATAATTTAAATTATTTTTATACTTGAAAGAATTATTTATATGATTTCATAAATATTATTTTTTATACCGTTTCACTGCATCAAATGAACCACTAGCAAAATCTATAACTCCAGCAGTTGGTCTAGTAACAAGACCAACCATTCCTTTTCCAAATCCTTTAAAGAACCCTTCCACACCTTCTTCTTTGGCACCTGATATGGGTTTCATTACAACACCAGTTACACCATCAAAAACACCCTAAAAATCATATTCATTTTTCATTACATTAATTTCTTTTCAATTATACTAATTTCTATTTCTAATTTTCACTTACCATTACCAAACCTTTGCCACTACGAGCAAGACCTTCTTGTAAAGTAGCTGGTTGTATGTTAAGCTGTTCTTGTCGTTTTCTTTGATAATCTTTATCAAATGTTAAAGCAGCTATACCTTTGCCTATGATAAATAATGTAATATTTAAAAAAATATAATAATATTTAGAATAAAATAAGAATTCAATTATAAATATAATTCAAATTATAAATATACTAAAAGTTTTTAATTTACGTGTATTTAAATACATGTATAATAAATAAAACTGTATTTCAATTCAATTATAATATAAATAATATGCATTGTAATAATATATGTATATATATACATATATTTATAACCATATATTTCTATTACATATATATAACATACATATATATAATTAATATAAAAATATATATAATTAATACATATAATTAATAATACACATATATGAGATATTACAAATTATTATACATGTATAATAATATAATATTTTTTATTTTATAATTCATATTAAGGAATTGAAGCTTCGACTTTTTAATAAAAACGTAAAATTTGCGGAAAGATAATCATAATGTTATAGACAAGCAAAATAACATTACATAAAGAAGAAAAAAAAAAAACATGCTATTAAGTTTGATTATGCGATTGATTAATGTACATTTCACATACACATGTATTTTAATATACTTTCAAAACTAGAATTTCTAAAACATACCCATAGCTCCAGTTATTTTAGAAACGGCTCCTGCCATTCCTCCAACAGTATGACCTACCATGCTTCTTACACCAAGAATCAAACCCTCTGCAAATTCTCCAGGCCCTTGAATGGCACCATGGAAAGGTTCATAGAATAAATCTTCAATGCCTTTCATGGTACCCACTACAAGACCATACGGATTTCCTATTACATCAAGTCCCAAAACAAGAACATAAGCTTGCTTAATTGCTTGTCCCACATAATGTAATGTTGCTTCATGAATGAGTTGTTTATGAGTCATAAAAATATATTCTCTTTCAAAATATGCTAATCTGTAAAAATAAAAAATATTTATTTATATATGACTTATACTAATACAGAGTTAAAATTTTATTAATACAAATTTAATTTTGAATACAATTACTTGAAGACAATATCATGAATATCTGTTAATGTAACTCCTATTCCTTGTAATAATACATTTAATACATGAGGCATTGCAGAAGGTCCGCTATTACCACCAGTCATTGAAAAACTTATATGAATCTGAAAAAATTATAATAATTATAAAAATATAATATCAATAAAATATAATTATGATTAATTTAAATTACAAAAAGAAACCTTTAATGGAGAAAAATGAAGAAGATCGAAGAAATTCTTCTGTTCGGCTGTAGTAATTAATCTGACGTGATACATTAAAGGTTCATCAACAAGTTTTACATCTAATTTGAATAGTTTGTTCTAAATTACAAAAAGACAATTATTATAATATTTTAGAATTTTATATATTATTCATATTATCTATTAATAAAACTCACTTCTTCCACATCATTCATTTCATTTGTTTCAAGTAATCCCATAATCGCATTAATAAATACAATATCTACTTTCACATGAAATTCTTGTATAAGAACTTTAAAATATCGGAATTGCTGTACATTACTGCGTACAAGTAATCGTTTAATCATACTAAGTTCAGCAAATGGTTTCATTTCAACTGTTAAAAAATAATTTAATATATATTCATACATACATATATATTTATATCTTATATATTCATTTATACTTTTAAAAAGATTAAATTTTAAATTAAAATAAAAAATAAAAGTGATAAAATAAAAAATATTAATTAATTTTTATGATTATAAGGAATTTAAATTCACATTAGATTAAATGAGGTGTCGATATGATGGAGATTGATCGAAAATTGTCTTAATCTATTTGCATTTTGTTTTATTAACGCAAATTTGAATTGCTTATAATTTACTAAATAAATTTTAATCGATAATTTTTGCATCTGTTTTAATTTCTAGAATTGAGATATATATAAAAATATATTTTATCATGAATATATTAATATTCTTTTATATCTTTATATATGTATAATTATATTTTTATATATGTATATATATAATTATATATATACATGTATTATATAATATATATATAATTTATATAATATTTTCATTTATATTTTCATTTTTTATGAATAATTAAATATAAAAATTTACCAGCATTTGTAACACTCTTTGGAGGTGGAACTGGAGCCAATATAACTGGGAAAATACAATCTGCAAGTTGATTATCAATTTGCAGTCTATTAATTTTTGCATGTAACTGCACTTGATGTACTGAAGTACGGTATTGCAACCATAAACCAGTTTGGAAAGTTCTTCGTAAATAACGACGATTTGGTTTCAACATTTCCATATTTAAATAATCAACCTGAAATTAAAATTAATTTGAGAATAGAAGATAATAAAATATACGTATTATAAAATTAAAAATGAAATTATTATTTCTATTACTTCTAATTTTGGTTCAAGTATCACTTTTTGCATCGGATCTTTTCCTATTTGTAATTCGCGCATATATTTTTGATAGCCTTCTTCTATAAGATTTACTTCCCTTGTGCTAAGACTACGCCATCGATGATTAATAGATTTACGGATTTCCCATATAATTCCAGAACTAAAAGATAATAATAATAAAAAATATGACAATAAATTGTTATAAAAATATAAATCATCACAAATATTTATATTAATAATGTACCTAGCAATACACATATATAACAATTCAGATCTTGTGATATTATTAACAAGTGAAAGACCAATTCCGTGAATATTTATTGATACTTCTTGTTCTATAACTTCAAAATCATCAGATAGTTGACAATCTTCGGCAATTTTCATATTTGATGTAAATAATAATACTCGTTGTGTACCATCTAAAAATGATACATAAAATACTTGTTCTTCCAAATCTGGCAAATGAAAAATTCCTAATGTATCCTAAAAAATGGATTTTTTAACATTATTAAATTAGAAAAAAATTAATAAATTTAATTAAATACTAGATATTTACTTTTCGAAGAGTTTCTTCAATTTCTTTTTTATTTCCATCTTCCCAAATCAATTTTCGCGGTCCTGCAGGATTTTCCCAAGTATAAAACATTTTATTATATGTTTGTATAGATCTGTGAAATAATTTATATTATAACATTAATAACAATAATTTTTTAAAATAATTGATTGTACCTGATATTTAGTGAACCCTTTTCCCAGAAATTGATAGTATGTGGAGTATGATTAATAATTAAAGCTGGAGCATTTCCATGATTATAAACAGATAAGGAAATGTAAATTCCGCCTTCGCTTATTTGTATATCTACATTGATTCCTCCATACTGTAAACAATAAAAATTATAAACAATAGAAATATATAAATTATTTATTAAAAAAAAGTAAAATTATCAAACCTTATTATTTAATTTCAATAAAGTTGTGTGACTTTCTGTATAAATAAATGATACAGTTTTTTCAAGATCACCTGCAATTCTAGCCTTTAAAAGTTTTTGCTCATGATCAGAACGAGGCCAAAAAGCTGTGCATTCTCTAGGAGGAACCTATAAATAATAATAATAAATAATAATAAAATAAATAATAAAAAATTATATTTAGGTAAAATATATCATATAAAATATAATTAACATTAAAATATAATTAATAATTTATTACCTTAATCATAGGATCAGCTGGTCTATTACCTTCTTGACATTCAATAAGATAATCAGAATTATTTATCAATACATAATATGGTGTAAATGTAATCTGTTTTGTTAAAGAATTATAAGTTAACTGATTATGAACTCCAATCTATAATTTATAAAAAAACATTAATATAAAATGAGTAAATAATGAAATTATAAGAAAAATGGAAAATAATACGGACTTGGTATGTTAGACCATTATATTTACAAGTAACTACTCCATCACTTCCTGCAACATCTATAGGAAATTTATCAGACCATTCACCATCTTCTACTCTAATCATTGCCTTCTTTTTACCAAAGAATACTTTAGAGCGAAATGAGAACAATATTGGTCCCTTAAAATTCTCTGGATGATATAATACATTTAGATAATCTTCTCCACTCTGAAAATATATGTATGATTAAATTTCTGTGCCAACATTAATATTATATTTCAATGATCTAAATACATTGTGCACAAAAAATGCAATTAATTGCATTTTTCAATATATTTACGTTATTATGTCAGATTACATCATTATGTGATAAATTACAATAAACTATTTTAATTACAATAAGTAATTTTATTTTATAATTTTGTTTATTTATTATAATAAACAAAATCTAAATTTTTACATTTTACGATTTTCTCTTCATATTATAAGTTCTTTTGATAAATTTATAAAAATTCATTGAATTAATGTACAAATAATTAATTTTCTATGATATCAAATTATTACGTTATTTCTATACGTTATTTTTATAAATATTATTTAATTTCATATCAATCACTACTTTCTACACATTTAGTAACAAATATACATATATATATATAAGCAATAATATCTTATTTATAGCATGAAAAAGTATGCGTAATGTTGCAAAATTACAATAATGCCACAAAAAGCCAACTAATAAAAAGAATTAAACATGAATGGAGCTGAATATATTTTTTGGTTAATTTTTTGAAGTGTATATGCCATTTATTATTAATGAGTAATTATATTTTTTAGTAGAAAAAAAAAATTAGCAATATGCTGTTAATAAAAAAGCATTGATAATAATATGTAGAAAAATATAAGAGATTTAATATATAGACACAGATACAGTTAGTTGAATAAAATAATGCATATTTTTTTTTATAATTCTTTCACAATTTGCAAAATTAAATCATTATCAATATAAAATAAAATCAATATATCACCGAACGTGCTTTCTTCATCCTGTATTCTATACGTGGTTGATGAGATTTCACACAAACCAAATTCTGAAAGATATCTTCTTATATATTTTCATTTCATTAACAAAGAAATTAGCTTTTTTTTTTTAGATTATATATGAAATAATTTTTTAATATTTATATCCATAAGAGTTATGTATATAAATAAAAGTTTAAATTGAAAAGCTATTTTTAAAATTTTGCACATGCTAATATTTCATTACATTAAATAAATATAATTAATTTAAATAAAACAAAAAAATTAAGAAATTCCAACTGAATTTAAGAATACTTTTGTTAACATAATTCTGAAATTTTGAAATAAATTTTATACATTGAGAAATACAGCCACCATTACATGATAAAAATTATATAATTAATATTATGTCCAAAGCATGAAAAATACTGTAACATGAAATCACTACCTTGATTGGACTTGAGTGTTCTTTGCCACCCTTACTTGATTTCTGTAAAATAATGTATTGAATAAGATATGATCACAGAAAATTAAAAATTTGCAACATTATACTACTTCCAGCATGTGTAATCTAACATAGCAATTACAAATGGCACAAAATATAAATCAAGCATTATAATAGAATTATATAATAGCATTATAATAGAAATTAGTTACATGCTTAATACAACAAAAAATCATTTGTAATATATTAAAATACTTTGTTATAATACTATAGAGTTAATAGTTTTATTTAATAAAGATTTTATTTCAGATAAAAAATTTTTAAAATAAAAAATATATCATAAATTTATAATTAATCAAATCTATTCTTTAAATAATAAGTAATAATATAATTTATTAAAAAATTTATTTTCATTAAAAAAATAAAAATGCCAAAATAAGATATAAGCAATATTTATAAATATAAATAAATAAATAACTAAATAAAATTATTAGATTATTAGATAATTTTTAAAAATGAAATTATGTTGATGAAACTTACACGATAAGACAACATTAAGCCTGTTTTATTCAACATCCAAAATGGACAATATAATGCCATAATAATAGAACCATGATCATATGATGTATGCATTCCTAAATCCATTATAACTTTTTGTGCACTGTCAAAAGATTCAAAAGACCAAACAGAAAATTCTGGTGGATTCGCTAATATTTCGCCTTTACATGACCAATCTTTTTCTAAATAATTCGGTAGCTGTAATTATATAATTATAATTAAATAATTATTAAAATGTAAATACGAGAATCATGAAATTTACTTACTTTTATGATTATACAAGATTTCCCAGGATCAATCGTAGGAATTTGATAAGATGTACCAGCTTCTAAAAGTTTCTCTTGTACAGATCCAGGTAAATTTATAATAATATTGATAGGTAGAAAATTCTTCAAATATATAGATGGGTATAAATGAACATTATAAATAGTACTTGCCATAGTATACCGAGAAGTATTTTCAAAGTAAACTTGTTCTATTTCACCAACAACCTGTAAATATTATAATGTATTATTAAAAATATATAAATATATAAATTTACATGTAGAAATTATTTTTCTACTCTGTTATTCTATCATTCTTCATACTATTGTCTAAATAATAAACAACACTTTCAATATTTAAGCATAAAAATACGTTCTATAACACGAATAAAACATAAAAAAACGTGCAATGAACATATTGTATCAAATGCTAATATAAATTTTTACTATTTGAACTATTGAACATATAACTATTTGAACATTTTATGCAGAATAAAAAAATTTTATTATTGAAATAAATAAAATAATAAATGCTAAAATAACAAAATAAATACTATGAATAAATAAAAAACACTCCTATAAAATAAATTAATTACTTTCTTTTCTAATTTAAAAAATGAAAATTGTCAAGATTATTAAAAAGAATTTAACTTAATATAAAAATTGCTTGCTTTTCTTTTTATATTGTATTTTATATTGTAATTATATTAATATAACATAATTAATAATTGTAACTAAAACCATGCCAATAATCATTTTCAGTCAAACATAGAGGATCTGTATCATAATAATCAACTCATCCTACTATATTACAATACATTCACATAAAATTATTAACTATCTAATATCGATTGTACAAATATTTATTTAGTTGATATTCAATGTATACTAAATAGAAACTGGTTCTCAAACTAATTTAGAAGAAAACGATAATACCTGAATAGGTGTTTCCAGATATTTTTTGTGCTCTGAGGATAAATTTTTCAAGCAAAGATGCTTGATGCAATCAATGAAACGAGAGAATACGGATCGCCAGTTAATAGCATTCAATAATAAGCCAATAGTGTTGTTATTATATAAAATACTACCAACCACAATCATCACGAAAAACATCTAAAAGTAAAAACTGCTGCTTATAAAAGCATGTATATAATGTAATTTTTAACAAAATTTTGTTTGATTTGACAGCACAAGAAAAAAAAAGATAATTAAATATACTGTTTCATTATATCTCTATTAAACATAATTGAAAACATCGTGAATAATAATTGCACGTACTACATAGTGTAAAATCTTGAAAAATAAAAATAAAATATAAAAATTTTCTAAGTGTATACAAATAAATGAATATATTTAATTTTGTTACCTTTATATAAAATGGTTCTACGATTTCTTGTCTTATTCTAGCTTCGCATTTCAAGAGTTTTGTCATACTGATTGTTTTTTGTAGATCTTTCCAAATAAATTGTTCTGAAACCATATATCTAGAAAAAAAAATTAAATTTATAAAAAAGTATAAAAAAGTATAAAAAAGTATAAAAAATATAAAAATTTGTATAAAAATATATTATACCCTTCAATACTAAAAAATAACCCATGAACATTTGTTGGAGTATATACAGCATCTAGTGGAAGATTTAATTTACTATCTGGAGCAACTGTTCCTACACATTCAACTTCATTTCCACGTTTAGTCATGTAATACACAGATATCGGTTGATTAAAATGATTGTGCACCTAAAATATATACATCTATAAAACAATTATTTACAATTATTAAAGCTAAAAAAAAAGACATATATATATCACCTGGAGAATACTTCGAAGAGTAACAATAGTACTTCCTTCATCAACTACAACGTCGGAAACAATACCCCATTCTTCAGAACTATCCTTTCGATATCTCAATGAAAAGAATCTTTTGTCAGCTCTTAAAATGGGTATTGCTAAGATTCCATGAATTTCTTTAAACTTCAAGAAATATTAATAGCTCAACATTATTTTAATTATATGGAAAATAAAAATTCATAAATTTACATAATATATTTTTAATATATTACCGAAATAATAAATTTATCATCACTTCTTTCTTGAATTGTTTCACTTTTTAATTGTTCAAGTAATGGTATTACAGTTTTCATATTTTTTGGAACTAATTCTACTGATGCGCCAGATTCAAGAATCACTTCCATATATGAATCAGTATTATTGCTTGTAAATTTTAATCCATCTTTGAAAACCTGAAATAATATATTTATAAATATTTTTTATCCTATAATATTATTTTTAAAATTAAAAATATAAAAAATTTAATAATAATAAACCTTAAAGTGACTACGTTCTAAATCTAAAATCATCGCTAAACCAGTTTCATTCTTCAATACATATGGCGCCACGCTTTTTGTCATTACTTTTCCAGTAACTTCCATGGCAGATGAAAATGCATTACCGAGTTGGTTTAGTACATTGAGACACGTTTTCGTTAAAGTTATTTCCAAATTTTCCTATTATAAAATATTATAAGATTTTATGTAAAATACATAATTAAAAAATAAAAAATATTAATATTTTATTAATAAATTTAACTTACAGTTGATAGAATATCAATAGACATTTTAGGAGTTTGATGAAATTCTTCTGTTTCACTATCTGATGTAGGGCTAATTGCATTTATACTTCTAGAATTCGCTGATATATCATTAAATTGAATCTATAAAACGAAAATAAATAAAATATAAATAAAAACAATAAAAATATTAGAAAAAATATAATAACATTTTAATCATCAAAAATTGAAATATATTACTTTAACTTTTAGTTCCCATGGTGTTGAAACTCGCTTTTCATTTTTGATCCTCTCTATTGGTTCAATTAATGGTTCCCATAATGCTAACTGACTATTATAATATGCCATAATTACCGACATTGTATATTCTACACTCATCTAAAAGTAAGCAATTTTTTAATGAATAGTAAAAGAAAAATCATTATTAAAATCAATATATCTTACAGTTTTCGTGCTCCAATCATAAATATTACTTTGAAAACTGATATGAAGTAAAAGCATTGGTAATGTTTTATTCCCAACACCTGCTTCCAATGTGAACAGAATTGTCGGTGCAGAGATTATTGCTAATTGTGGTTTATAAATAATATCCTCATCATCAGAATATGTAAAATCTTCTATAGCTTCTATTCCTACTTCTAAAAAATAAAAAATATTATATTAAATAAATAAGATTTATAATAAATAATGTATATATTTTATAATATAACATATATAGTTAATATTATATGTATATTATAATATTATATGTAATATTATATGTAATATATATAGTTAATATTATATTAAATGTATATATTTTACCTGTTTTTAAAAACCAAAAATCACTCTCTTCAAATGGTGTTACAATCCACAATCCTTCATAATTCTGCTCAGTAATAACAATTTCCTGATCTTTTATTTCCGTTTTTGTAACAGTATGAATTACTTTATTCAATATTTCTATAACACCTATAAATGACGAATTTAATTAGTAATTTTATTAAACATTGTATGTTAATATTTTATCGAATTACCTGGCGAAACTGATAAATGAATATCTGTACAACAAATATCGACATGAAGTCCTTTTCCATCTGGTGTAGAACCTGCTATACTTATACTACATGGTTTTAAGACCTTTATAATTAAGATATTTTTTTTATAATTACAAATTAATACTATACATAAATAATAGAATATAAAATATAAACGAAAATTTTTACCTGATATATCCAATCACTTCTTCTTACAGGGTTATATATACCAGCTAAAATCGATAAATCTTTTATGGTGCCAGTTATTACTTGATGTTCATCCATCAAACGTACTTTTAACAATAATTCAGTCTATATAAAATAAAATATTTAGATAAAAGAAATAATATATAATATATTACATTTATAATAAAAAAAAGAAAAAATAGAAAGTAAATATTACATTTAGTATTATGCAATTAGAATTTATATCATCCATGTCTTCCAATAATATAATATCAGGCTTTTCGATATGTATATTAATTGTAAACATTTTTTTAGTTGGTGATACAATTTGTTTTTTTTTAACTATTGGTTCGCTATAGCTTTTTATATGTTGAGTTACTGGTTTATTTGATGAATTATCAATCGCGAAAAAATCTTTTATTTTCATTAGATAATCAAGTGATACGATTATACTAAATGAAAATACTCGAATATCAACTGAAAACAAAATTTAATTAAAATAAAGCTTAATAACGAAATAATTTATATATAAAAATATTTAATAAAGATATATTAAATAAAAAATAAAGATATATTTTTTAACAATCAAGAAATATATTTTTAACTTACCAAATGTATCATTTGAACTTTGTCTAATAGTCATATCTAACATACTACGAATAGGTTTTGATTCTTCTTCTATATTATTCATGGAAGATACCGTTGTTATTCGCTCCATAATTCTAATAAATGAACCTTGTCTACTTTGACGAATGTCATCTAAAGTACAATTCATAAGAAGAATCGAAGTTGCCATTAATCCATCGGCAAATATTCGACCTTTCAATGCAAAATGCGTTAAACAAAATTTAGCTAAGCCATTTTCTGGCAAATGAAGTAGAGAATTTTGTGATTGCAACTACAATTTAATTAGATAATTTATAATATATATATACATATATATATATATGCAATAATATCAAAAATGGTTTTGAAATAATTATTGAAATTACCGTTTTTGAACCTCCCGTAAATAAAGTAATTACAAGACTATCCATAACAAATTCAAATTTAATCGTTGTGTGTATATGTACTTGTTCTTGTAAATCTGTATCTTCTGAATCTTCTGCAATAGTTACAAACTTATCTGTTAAAAAAACACAATTATTTTATAATTATTTTGTTCATTAATTAATTATAAATAAAACAAATTATTCATATCTACCAGGTCGATGATGTAAAACTTCTATTTCAACTTTTTTTTTATTAACACTTGCTATAAATTTTTTATCTTCAACAGTTTCACCTAAATTTTTTTCTAATACTTTCATTGCTGTTGCATAATCTTCTTTACTTATCAATATATTAATTTTATTTAATCTACCAGACATATCAATATCTGGTATAGAGGTAAACCAAGCAGTGGATAAATTACGTTTAATGAGTAATGTAAAACTAACTGGTTCTAATAGCAATATTTCATTTTGAACTAAAAATTTTTCTATATTCAATCTCACCCTATTATAAAAATAATATATAACTAAATATTTGCGATTATCAAAATTAATAATTGTTATATTTTGTAAATAATTACTCTTACCGAGATAACTTAAAATTTTGTAATTCAATTCTCATTTCATCAATAATAGGAAAATCTCCAATTTCATTTGTAGTTTCTAACTTCTTAAAAATATTACATATAGTAAGATTACCCATATCTAATGTTAAACAATGGTCACTTGTCGAATGCATTGGTACATATATAACTGGAGCCTATTATTATATAATTTAAAAAATTTAATATTTAATTATAATATTTCAAATTTTTATACATACCTTAATTTTTATTGCAAGTCCAATACGTGCTGCACTTTTTCTAGCATCTTTAATATTTATTTTCGCGGCTTCTGCGGCTGCTGCTGATGCTTCTTTTATAGCTTGTTGAGCTGCTTGAAAATTATTTAAAAAGCTCTAAAAGATTAAATATACTTTAATTATTTAAATATTTATCAATTATTTAAATTAAAATATCTTAATTATTATATATAAAGATTTTGTTTACCATTATACTGGTAACAAACATATTCAAGAAAACAATACGATAACAACCCATAACAACTGTAATGGACATATTATTTTTATCAATTTCTGATGGTTCAACATTGTAAATTATAGCCTGAATTTGTAAAGATTCGGTATTTTCTGTTACAGATACAATCTATATAATTAATTATATTAATTAATATTCTAATAAACTATATTAATTTCATACCAAGTATATAGAAAAATTGACTTACATTTCTATAAGCTGATGCCACATTAAGATCTTTAATATTAATAGAAGATAAATTAACATTTGCTTGCGAATGTGAAGATTTCATTATATATCCGGCGCTAATACCATCGATATAAAATGCAGTAATTTCTCTACAATCGCTAGTTATCTTCATACAGATAGTTCCAACTTTTGCTTGTATTTTTAAATCTATATGCTCAATGACTGTTTTTCTACGACCTAAATCCGTATGTATATAATTATAAATTATAATTCAAATTTTAAAAATAGAGAAATATAATAGAAATGTTCTTACGCATCATTGATTTAAGTCTTTGCTTGTGAATTTGTTCTCTCAAAAATGTAGTAGTTTCTTCTTGAATGGAAACCAAATGAGTAAGTCGTGGACGCATATAAGGTTCTTTTTCAAGTTTACTATTTGCTATAGCATTCATTTGATCCTACAATTTAAATACAAAAGAATAAAATTTAAATTTCTCTATATACTGAATTTAAATTAAGTTAAATTGAGAATTAAACCTGAATATATGATATAAATTGAAGAAGATTTATTAGAGCTTCTTGATGCAGCCAAATGTCTAATGTTGTAAATTCTAATTTTAATAATTGAAGAACAGATCCATGTTTTGTTTTAAATTCTGGAGATCGCTTATTTACCTTAAAAATGAATATATTTTTTATTATTTTTTATTATTTAATTTATATTTTATTTATATTTTACGAATAATTTATTTCTTAATAGATTAAAAAAATTATTTACTTACATTTATATATTGCACTGTTATCAAATATTCATTTCTACCAGAAAGCATAGGAGTGTTTACCATAAATATTTCTCTTTGATTGTAATGTTGCTTTATTTGAATTCCACCTAATCTTAATAATATTTCCTTATCATAAGTTCGTTGTAACATTTCGGCTTCTAATTGTAATACTTCAAATTTCATAAACGGTATTATTTCATTGCCTTTTTGAGATGAAACTTGTATTGCAAATTCTATAGTAAATATGCAATTATTAATTAAGTATTTAATTAGAATTTATAAAACATTATGTTACCTTTCATTTCAAATCTCATTTCCATATCAATTGTTTGTTTAATTGGAGTCACAACAGAATCTTCTATTTTTTTTTTTTCAGCAAAAGTCGTAGTTAAATCTTTCAGCAAAGATAATTGTGAAACAGATTTACTCTAAAAAAATATTTTATAATTAAAATATAGTATTTAATAAAATAATATTTAATAAATGTAAATATAAAAATTATATTTATAATTTTTAATACAAAATATACCAAAGATAATTTGTAAAGTTCTATTGGTTCTTCTTCTTTTGGAAATGGTATGCTCTGAGCAATAGAAAGAGCTTGTAATAAACGAATATCTAAAAAAAATTTAAAAAAAAGATTATATTTATATTGTTATTAAGACACTAATAATTTAAAAATATTTTGTTCTGAAAGATACCTGTTATATTAATAACAACCGATGGTAATTGTCCTATCAGTCTAAATTTTGGAAGTAAAGGATCATCTGTTACTAAACATTTGTGAAATTGAATTTCAAGTGTTGTTGGAAGTAATAATGTCATAGAATCATCTATATTTGATAAAACTGTGCGCCACTCTTCACCCGGCAATGAAACTAATATCTATATAATATTATATAATTTTTATACCAAATTTTTATACTTATACATTTTATATTTAAAATATTAAAAGTACATACTTGAAAATCAACTATCTTTAAAACAAATTTGTCATAACTATGTTCTCTAAGATGCAATAACACATCTTCTTCAGATTTACCCATACTAATTAATTGTTTAACAGTTACATGTGTCTTAACATCTTTTGGTTTTTCTAGAGAATGTATTTGTAAACTACCAAGATCAATAATTAACAATGATTTTGTGCTATTATATCTTCCATCATGTGGTATAATTAATTGAGAAGCTTGCATATTAACCTATTAAATTAATATATAATTAAATTCTATCTTTTATAATGAATATATTATATTATAAAATTAATTTTTACCTGTATATCTAATACCGAATGTTTTTGAATAGCATGTTCTAAACCTAAAGCCGACATTTCTTTTAAACCTTCTAATTGTTCTGCAGCAGCTGCTTGAAGACTAAATGTAAAAAAATTAATTATTGAAGTATTTTGTAAGTAAAATTAATGATAAAAATAATACAAAATATAATATTCTTACTTGTACAAAGTTGGTGAATTTTGTACTTTAAATAAGTTAATTAATTCTATTACAGTTTGTGCATCATAAATAATATCTACAGATTTCGATTTTACTATGATACGATCACCACATAATTTATCAAGAGGATTCTTTTCATACGATACAGAAATCAGAACATTATCTGTGCCATGCTGGTGTGAATTGAAAAGTGAAGGAATATAATCATCTTGTTTTGTTCCTAATAATTTCATTTCATTAATTGATGCTGTAACTCTATAAAAAATTAAATATTACAATGTTAAAATTTTAAAATTAAAATTTTTATAATAAAAATAAAACATACATACAAAATGGCATTAGCAGATGGTCTTGATTTAAAGCAAGCTTCAACACTGTGTAATTGAAGATCTATAATACAAGGATACTCTTTATCTGTATCTAAAATTATAATTTGTAACTCGTATAAAAGAAATCGCGTATCTATCATTTCATATGTTTCAGGATAATGAACTGGCACACCATTTTCTTGATAATCAATTGCTCGATACAATTTTTCTTTCTCTTGTGGTGTCATTGCTTCCTCAAATTTTCGCACTAAAATAACACATTTATAAGAATAAAAAAATTAATTATATATTCTATAAATATTTTAAAATATACAACAGAATTTAAATTATTACTTATAGCAGCTGCAGAATTTAACTCTTCTGTTTCTTCTATCTGTGTATTGGACCACAAAAAACCAAACCAACCACGTTTTGCTTTTAAAGTTTTTTCTTTTTCCACTAGTTTTTCTACCTATAAAGTACAAATTAAATAATTAATTAAAATATAGAATATATATTTTTATCAATTAAAAATTTTCATCAACTAACTTCCATTTCAATCTTTTGCCTAATAATGACTAAATTAAAAAGATCTAATTTCTTTTCACATTCAGTAAGAAGTTCTTCTATTTCCTGTGGAATTTTCTTGGTTGTCAATTTCATTTTATATGCTTCAGCGTAAGAGCGACACATATCTCGATGTTTTTTCATATGATTCCAATCCCAATTTCTACGTTTTCTACGTACTGTTTCTTCTAAGACACAAATATATGCAAATTTCCACCTAAAAATAATTTATTATATAAGTTATAATATAAATTATTATATAATATATATTTATTATATAACTTAATATATAAAGTTATTTTTCAAAAAATTAATAATTTATTATAATTTATTACCATTGTTTATAATATCCTCTATATGATGTTAAATTTGGTCTATACTTTCTATATGGTGCAGCTTTTTGAGCTTGATCTAAACCTTCTCCTAACTGAACAAGAGTATGATATTGTTTTTTTGCTAATCCTACTCTCAATTTTTGCATTTCCATGTCTAACCACATTTTAGGAATTTTATAATTACTTCCATCTGTTTCTGGTTTTGGATTTAATTTTAATTTTGCATTGACATTTATTGGACCCAATACTAAATAATTATAAAAAATTTTTAATTTATAAAATTTAAACAAAGGAATTAATAAATCTAATATTTATTTTTGTATTGTTTTAAATTATATTTTCTTACAGTATTGATAACCAGGTGGATTATAATCTATAGTTGCAATTCCACTATAAAATAGGTCTGAATATTTTGATTGTACATGAGTAAATTGTTCTATAGTTGTATTAAGATATACTGCTAAACCATCTAATGTGCATAACTAAAAGAAGAATATTTTTTATTTTAAAAAATATTTCCTTTAGTAAGTTTTATAATTTACCTTATAAATTTGTGGAATAGCATACATATCCTTTAAATTATTTATTTCCCAAGTATCAGTACAACTTTCTAAAGTAAATATATTCAATGTAAAACCAACAGAAAAAGGATGATCTTTAAATGAAATATGATCTTCATATCTCACATGTATCTTTTTAATTTCAATATGGATATTCTTAATCATTCGAGCAATGAGTTTTTCAACCATTGAATCATCTAGTTTCTCTTGTGCTAAAAATTTATAAATAAAATAATTGTAATTATTTAAAAGAAAAATTGAAAATCATAAATATATTTAATGTTAAATCATCAAATATGAAATGTTATTACATTTAATATCTGCTAATTGTTTTTTTTTCTCAATCCTTGCAAGTGCTGCACGTTTTGCTTCAAGCTGCATTTTTTCTTCTTTTTCTGCATCATATGCAATTTGATTTGAGGGTACTACAAGTAAATATAATTCTTCAACTATAGCATCAATCTGTCCATTCCACATATCTTTAAATGGTATCTTTAATATAAGTTTTCCTGAAGAAAAATAGAAATACAAACTATATTAGTTCTGTATTATTAAACAAATATGCATATTTGATTTACAAACCTAATCTTCCATATTCCAATCTAATAGGTAAATTCAATACATCCAATGCAGTTTCTTTTATTAATAAATCTGTCAATACTACATCTCCTAAAAAGAAAAATGTCTTTCAGAAAAATAAAATGTCTTTTATAAAAAAAAGAATATATTTTTATTTAAAAAAATATATATATATAAAATATAAATAGAGATAATAAGAATAAAAT